GCTTCGTCTGACATACTTTGGACATGTTGTAAGGAGAGACAGGTCTTTAGAGAGGGACATCATGCTGGATAGAGCAGAGGGACAGCGCAGGAGGGGAAGACCCTCTATGAGGTGGATTGATTCAGTGACTGGGGTAATCGGCATGGGTGTCTCAGAGGCAATGAGATTGGCACAGGATAGAGCAGGGTTTTAGGGCTGTTGTACATAGGGTCGCTATGAGTCGCAAATGACTGGGCACATAACAACGACAACATTTATAAAGTAGTCCTTGAGATAAGAAAACAGATAAAATGTTCTAACATAACCTAAAGGCCTAAATTTAATCTACTGGGTTAAATGAAAGTCTACCTTTCCAAAGTAGGGCAATACTGCACAATAAAAAGGTAAACATGGGAGGCAGGAAAGAGAAAGCATAAAGAAATTCTGTACGTGGAAAGTAAGAGTCTAAGTGTCAAATTAAGCAATGACACACTGAAGAAAGGAAAATAATCTGAGACAAAACAAAATTTAAGGACAAACAGACGAAAGATTAAAAACTAAAACAAGCAAAAAATATACCCACAGCAAATAAAAGTTCTAGATGAATAAATGTAAAATCTAGAAAAATTAAGTAAAATAAAATTTTAAAATAGTACTCTAAAGCAGCTAAAACACATTAAGGAGGAAAATTAAGATGCAGTGAAGCAATTAAAACCGCTGCATATGCTAAAACAGTGCAAGTAATAGGACCTTCAAAGAGAATTTAAGAAACCTAACAAACACAACAAGTAAAATGCTGGGGAGGTACAGTGAGTCAGCCAGCATGACACATGGACAGCTTAATCTTAAATAAGCAGGATGCCATGTATCTGAATAACCCAAGTAGGGCATTTTCTGAATGGAAAGGAGTCAGTATAAAAAAAAATTATACAGGAAGGAACAACAGGTGTAGTTAGACTGGGGCAGTTTCTTGTAAACTGGGATGTGCACTCTATGTATCCAGGAAATCAAATCCTAAAGGCTGAGGTCATGCTCACAGCTTAGGATCTGTACAAGTGCTAGAGCCTGAAAGTATCCTTCTGCTGGACTCAAGTGGTCAAAGTGCACACCTCCTTTTTTTCTCCCCCTTTACAGCAAAGAAACACAACAATATGAAGTTTATTCATTTCAACATAATAACATCATACCAATGAATAGTTTAGCAATCTCAGAGAGCTGAATTATACTTCTAAATACAGAAACAGGTACACTAAAGTGAATTACTATCATAAATCTAATACAAATACAATGTGCATAAATACATAGACCATATAAAATTACTGCCTATAAAAATACATTACATTAAAACTATACAAGTGCATATATTCTCTAATACAGAATATTAAGCATGATAATTTACAAAATCAAATTAGAATTAGGGGGAACTTGTAGCCTTGTTGGCCATCCTTTAATTTTTTTTTTAAACTGAGGTTAACTTAAACAGTCCATACCTTATGGGAGTATCTCCGCCTTGAGAAATGTCTTGCTAAGTCTGGTTTCTTGTTTCTATTCTGCAGACACTTGATTAGGCGATACTTTCTTGATTTTACTCTATTATGACAATGATCAGTGAAGTTACAGTGATTCAAAGGCTGATTCTGCATGCATTTTCCAACGCGAGGGACAAAATACTTCAGAGCCTGGAGAAATAATTTGGTCTTCTGCTGCATGATATCAAAGTCCCTGGTTTATGCTCCCTTTGGGTCTGACAGTACACGAATATATACAGTAGTGGGTTCACAGAACATCTAAAATTGGCAGTTCTTAGTTCCCACCCTGTCAGGGCCATGCATAATTGCAGAGAGCTGATAACTCAGATTAAATAAATCATTCAAATCATACTGTTACCGATGTGGCTCAAATGTCTCATTTGTAAAGCCAATTCTATCAGGCTGAAGCTATGCAACACTGATTCTGGTACACACAGGGCCAAACTAAAAAAAAAACAAACAAACAAAATAAAAAGCAAAATAAAAATCTGCAAATAAGCAAATAGAGAAAGGGGGCTTATTAAGAACTATGGAAGCTTTAAATGGCTTTGACCTTATATACTGTGAAATCTCTGGTATGTGTGTGAGGATGAACTAAGAAAAGCCTCAAAACTCACTCATTGCCGTCGAGTCGGAAACGACTCATAGCTGACCCTCCTGTGGGTTTCCGAGGCTGTAAATCACAAGGGTGGAGATTGCCCATCTTTCTCCCCCGGAGCGGCTGGTGGATTCGAACTGCAAGGGAGGCGTGGCCTTTGGGTTAGCAGTGCAACTCCCTAGGGACTAGGCCACCAGAGCTCCTACTTAATAGGCTGGGGAAGAAAAAGGGAATGATTAGCATTGGCTGAGTGCTTTCAGTGTGTCAGAGGCTTTTACAGACTGTCATTTAAACTTCATAAGGGCTTAATGTAACTATAATGCTTATTTTACAGGTGAGGAAACTGTGGCTCTAGGAGGTTTAAGTACTCCAGGCACTCAGACAATAAAGAGTCTGTAAACAAAAGAAAGTCAGTAAACTCTCTCTCAAAAGAGAGTCAGTAAACAAAAGGGCCAATCTGGTTAGTCCGCACATTGTGGACAAAACAATTAGTTCTCAACATTAATTCAAAAATGAAAGCATGTAGATTTTGAATTTAAAACAAAACTAAATCACTTTAAGATGCTAAATTAAATGGGGGACCATGGCTGGTTTCTGCGTGGCAACTGGTTCTTACTAATCCTGATAACTAGCAAGTAAATCTGGGTTCAGGTCTTGATTTCTACACCTACTGCCTGTATCTTGGCCTCAGTTTCTTCAACTGAAAAACTGAAATAACAGGACCAATTACCTTATAGGATTGTTGCGGCAAGAATGAAAAAATGTGACAATTTACATAAAGATTAAGTAACACAGTGCCTGGAACGCAGTAACCATGATGGCTGCTAGCATTAGGACTGGAATAATCTAGGTCGATTGCACATTGTTGCCTATCATGAGAATCTTCCATAAAATGGCCTTCTGTAGCAAGGAATACTGCGTCACATTTTCCACAGAATGTATCTGCTACAATCCCTCCCAACCCCCAATGTGCTTCCGTGTTGCAGGAACCAGGAGGACAGGTATGAAAGAGCAGTAGCTGACTAGTAAAACCCCTTAACAACAACAAAAATCCCCGCTCCCAAAACCTGAATAAAAGGTGCCCGCAAGATTTCGAAATCATTATTACTTGTCCCCATGGCTTAAGTCCATGCATCCTGCATTTGCAGGGAGAATCCAAGGCTCGGGATGACGTTAAGTAAATGGATTACTGGCAAAATTACTCATTATCCTTGTGCAACACTAGCCCAGGGACTAAGCAACAGGAATGTGGAGGGAGTGGTTCCAGAAATCAAGCAGTCAAAGGACACAGATCAAAAAGCGAGAAGCAAGCAATAAAGGGAGGCTGCGTGGAAATACGAAAAGGAGGAGGAAGAGATCACATCACGACCATATACGTACGCAAACTGTAGGAATACTCTGGACAAGAAACGGTGAAGGCAGGCCGCAGAGCCAAAGCTCTCAGGACAGAGAGCAGAGACCACCTCCGCTGCGTCCGGTTCCAGTCTGCGACTCCGCTTCCCGCAGCTGCTGTGCAGCACGCCGGTCTACGTAACTTCAGCTCAGCACGACGTCGAGGCAGCATTTGCCATCTTTACTATGGTCAAGAAGGGAGTGTCTTTCATCAGGATTACTACAGGCATCTCAAATATAGTCATTTGGTTCTTCTATAGTTGTATGAGTTAAAGATGAAGCAAAGGAGACAAGAACGAAGAGAAAGGCGCCACACTATGTCCATTGCAGATCCCTCCCGCCACTGTCTGCCCTCACTCAAGATGGCCGCCAGCAAAAATGGTGCAGTGATGTGTACAGCGGTTCCTGGTTGCCAAGGAGACCCGAATACCGGAAATGCGGAATTCCCAGGGGCCGCGAGCTTGGGCGGCGGGAACAAGGCCACGCCTCCGCGGTCCTGACAGAAACGAGTGGGCAGGTCCTGGCAGGGAGGTGGAGGTAGCAGTGCTGTGGATAGTGGTGTTTCCAGGGCGATGGAGTCGCGAGTTGCAGACGTCGGGGCAGCAGAAGCTGCGCAGGCCGCGGGCGGGGGCTCGGCACGCGGCGGCGTCACTCAAGGGCCGGTTTCGGAGACGCTGGCAGCTGCTCGCTGGAAACTCCTGCGGCAGGTAAGGGAAGACCTGCTAGGTGCCCTAGCTCTGGCCACTCCCCGCGCAGGTGCTGGCCAGCCTCCAGACGGGGCTCTTCGCTGCGACTCCGACTTCTGCCGAGTTTCTTCAGTTTAGCCCAACTGTGGGAAGTGCAGCCGCAGCACTCACAGAAGCGGGCTTGGTGAGAATTCTTCTCACAGCACGCGGGGCTTCCTAGGAAGAGCCCCTCCTTGGAAAGGACACCGCGCAGGGAAAGCCGAGGGTCAGCCAAAGGCAAGCCCCTCCACGAGCTGGATTGACAGAACTGCCACCGAGAACCGCAGAGACTGTGCGGCTGGCGCAGGTTCACTTTCTGTTGGTCAGGAGGCCGCTGCGAATGGGAGCCCCCTGGACTGCACCCCACAAAACCCGAGGAGCGCCCCCTCAGTCCTCAGCGTCCACTTTCTTGCTTCGTCCCCCACCGTCTTGCTTTTCACGTTCCTTCTAAGAGACAAACCATCCAAAAGCGAAGCATCAAGTAGGGTTAATGGTAGCAAATGCAGAATTCCTGGGACATTCATGTCGGAAGTAAAAGAGCTGTCTGTCATCTGAGAGACTTTTCCTATTGCTTGTCCGTCACATGGCTGTCCAGCCTGTATTGCTCTTTTAGCCAAACTCAGTTTTTCTGCCTCACTAAAATTTCATTTTGCTTCACATGACCAGCTTGATGCACCTCGGCTTTAGGATTAGCAGTGTTTCGAGGGCTTGGACCTGTTTGTTGCTTGTGCACATTGTTTGAGATGGATTCGTGTGACTGAATGTAAAAGAAGTTGAGATGTCTGCCTCTATTTTTTGTCTTGCAACTTGAAGTGATTGGTTTCCTAGGTGGACTAGTCAGGGTATAAGAGTGTTAGTTTTTTGAATGACAGTATCTTTTTATGTGTGTGTTTTAAAGTTGCCACTGTTGCTAATAAACCCGTGTGCAGGTTTCACAGAATTTCCGATTTGTGGTCATGGAGGTAATCACTTGACAGAATCACTGCTTGAAGTGAACTTTTCTTACTGTTTTTACACACCAATACCTTAGGCCACCTGTTGAAGCTTGACTTAAGAGAACACTTTATATTTCTGACAGTTCTTTTTGCGGAAGAATGTCCAGGTTACTGAAATATCAGTTGAGGTGATGGTTGTTGTTGTTATGTGCCATCGAGTCGCTTACAAATCATAGCGACCCTGTGTACAACAGCCCTAAACTCTGCTCTGTCCTGTGCCAGTCGTACTCTCTCTCCATCAGGAATCAATGACCCCAGTCACTGAATCAATCCACCTCATAGAGGGCCTTCCTCGCCTGCGCTGTCCCTCTCCAAGGACCCGTGCCTCCTTACAACATGTACAAAGTATGTTAGACGGAGCCTCAGAATCCTTGCCTCCAAGGAACCACCTGGTTTAACCATTTCCAGCATGAATCTGTTTATTTTCCTAGCAGTCCATGGTACTCTCAATACTCTTCTCCAGCACCACAGCTCAAAGGCATCAATTTTCCTTTTATCCTCCTTAGTCATTGTCCAACTCTCTGATGCATAACAAGTGATTGCAAAGACCATGGCCTGTACCAGACGCACCTCAGTCTCCAGAGAGACACCATTGCTCTTCAGTACTTTGGTGAGGTCCCTAACAGCAGACTTTGCCATGGCAATATGTCTTTTAATTTTCTGGCTACTGATGCCAAGAGTGTTGACTGTGGAACTGGTAGTATTTAGGGAGTTAACTTTGCTTTGTCTCCAGTCAACTTTGCATACACTGCTGTTACTGAGTAACAGTCATGTAAGATCTTTTCTTTGCTGATGTATTTATTGATATTTTTCTCAGAGAATTAATTATCTGGTCTTAACAAATAATATTATTGACTAATGGAATGCATCTTATCATAGGTCACTTTCACGGGTATTGCTTAGTGAAGTAAACAAGATCAGTTAAAGTTAAATTACTAAAGTGATAAATTAGGGCATTACATCAATCAAGTCTTAGAATTGATTAGTTTGTCTTTCTCATAAGAACTAGAATTCTCCCTAGAAATAGATCATGTTTTACCAGTCTCTCCCCTCACTACTGCTTTGAAATGACCAATCCTAGTCCATCTCAGCTCTCTAATGTATAGTATGTTTATCTTTATGCATTCCATTTAATTTTATACAACTCTAATTTTCTAAATTTCAACATCAAAAAAACAAAAATCCTCACCACTGGATCAGTAAGGCAACAACATCATGGTAGATGACGAAAAGATTGAAGCTGCCGAAGATTTAATTTTGTTTAGATTCACAATCAACATCTGTGGTAGCAGCAGTCAAGAAATCAAAAGATGTATTACATTGGGAAAATATACAGCCTAGGACTTCCCCAAAGTACTAAAGAGCAAAGATTATCAGTTTAAAAAGATTGAGTTGTGCCTGATCCAAGCCATGACTCTTTCAATTATTTCCTATGTAGCTAGAAGTGAGATAATGAATAAGGATGGCAGAAGAATTATTGATGTTTTGAATCATGTTGTTGTTATGTGCCATTGAGTCACCTGCAACTCATAGCAACCGTATGTACAACAGCTGTGAACCTGCTCTATCCTGAGCCAACCTTATTTTCTCTGGCACACCTACCACCATTACCCTAGTCACTGAATCAATCCATCTCATCCAGAGTCTTCCTCTCTTATGCTGTCCCTCCAACCTTCTAAGCATGATGCTCCTCTCCAAGGACTGGTCCCTCCTTGCAACATGCTCAGAGTATGTCAGACAGAGGTTCAGAATCCTTGCCTACAAGGCACAGTCTCGTTTCACCCTTTCTAGGATGAACCTGTTTGTTCTCCTGGCAGTCCATGGTATATTCAATACTCTTCTCCAGCACCATAGCTCAAAGGCATCAGTTTTCTTTCTATCAACCTTATTCACTGTCCAGCTTTCTGATGCATAGCAAGTAATTGTGAAGACTATGGCTTGGATGAGGCACACCTTAGTCACCAGACTGACATTGTTGCCCTTTGGTACTCTGGAGAGGTCCCTAACTTTCCCATGGCAATATGTCTTTTAATTTTCTGGATGCTGGTACCAAGAGTGTTGATTGTGGAGCCAAGCAAACTAAAGCTGTGAACAATCTCAATCTCTTCACTGTCTATAATGATGCTCCTAATGGGCCCAATAGTGAGAATCTTTGTTTTCTTGATATTCAGCTTCAATCCATATTTAAAGCTACATTCCTTGACCTTCTACAACACGTGCTTCAAGTCCTCCTTAGTTTCAGCAAGTAGGGTTGGCCATCTGCATAATGCAGGATATTGATAAGTTTCTTCCAATCCTGATGCCAAATCCTCCGAATAAAGCCCAGACCCCCAGGTGATGTGTTCTGCATATAAATTGAAAAGGTATGGAAACAGGACACATCCCTGGTGTACACCCTTCCCGATTTTGAACCATGCAGTGTTTCTCTTCTCTGTTCAGACAACCACCTTCTGGTCCAAGTCTGGGTTTCACATAAGCACAATCAAATGTTCTGGGATTCCATTTCTTCTCAGAGTTAGCCACACTTTGTTGTGATCCACACAGTCAAATGCCTTTGCATAGTCAATGAAACACAGACATTCCTCTGGTATTCTCTGCTTTCAGTCAAGAGCCATCTAACATTAGTTATAATATCCCTAGTACCACAGCCTCTTCTAAATCCAGCCTACACATATATTTGTTACCGTTCCAAAGAAATGTGACTTGATAGAATGTGGAAATTATTGAACAATATGATTAATATCACATGCAAGCAAGATTCTGCTGAAAACTGTAAAGGATAATTAATATTGCTCTGTTTTCCTTTAGGTTGCGTTTTTTAACTAGGCAAAGAATGGTGTTAGCAACTATAGGCTTTCTTTGCCTACCCAACTTGAGATTCAAAAGAAATAACTTTTCTCCCCCATCATGCAAATTATCTCCTTCAGAGATCTCTGAGAGACCAAGTTGAGCCAATTCTTATGTCGAGGAAGATTAGATTTTTTTTTTTCTTTTTTTACTAGCTTGGTGTCAAGAATAAAATTATGCACTTTGGGCACCTCCAAGCCCCCCAGTATTTGCCAACTTGACTGGACAGTGATTCTCAGTGGTTTAACAATTATTTTTGTGATGTAGAATGTAATGATGTAATCACCCTCACAATGTAATCTTATGTGATCAGCCAGTGAAAGGGGATGTGGGTAGGATACAGCATTCCTATTCAGATGACAACTCTGGTGAAATATAAGAGGAATTTCCGTGGAGTGTGGCTTGAATCTTACAAAAGATAAAATGAGACAAATTACCGGAGAATGAAGGACTTCATGACCACCAAGAAAGAAGAGCCAGGAGTAGAGGGTATCTTTGAATTTGGGATTTCTCTACTGAGAGCTTTTAGACCGAGAGAATAATTGATAAGAAAACTTATGGAAATTTCTATGAAATTCGGAAGCTGAAGCTTGAGAGACAAGGGCCTTCTCGTAGACCTGACAAAGGAAAAAACCCATTCCCTAGAGCTGGTACCCAGAGCTCCAACTATTAGCCTATTACAGTGTGAGAGAACAGATTTGTGTTTGTTAGGATTAAGGCATCGCCTTTGGTCCCTGTTCTGGTAGCACTAGATAACTAGGACACCTAGCTCAGTATCCCACTCAACAGCACAAACATAGCTGTCTCTCCCGAGCCAGTAGCGTGGAGGGAGATAGTTTATAAAAGGAAGGGATGTATACATTATCTATCCAGTTTTTCTCAGTCCTTACCCTAACAGATTATGTATACTGAATCGAAACAGATGAGGGAGAGAATAGTTTAAAAGCAATATATGATAGGGTATTATGATTATCACAGGAATCCAGAATTAAGGTTGCATTGGTGGAGTGCATTGGGGAGGGGGGTGGAGGCAGGGGCGGGGGGATTGTATACCAACAAAGAAGTTTATCTTTTGCTTTTCAAAGAGAGGAATGAACTCGGGGGAGGGGGGTGTAGAGAAAAAAGTGCAACAATGAATGAATGGAAATCCAAAATCTCTGTAAATGTTCATTAAAATTAACAAAATAAAATTTAAAAAAAAACCAACAAAAGGAAGGGATGTAATAAAATGCAAGCAGATAGCCATCACTCATAAACATTGATAGAATGAAATCTTGCCTGGGGGTCTGAATACTTGACTGAGGAGTATAATTATTGGAATATATTATATAATAAGGGGGGGGAGAAGCATGAGAGAGCTTTGGTGACCTGGTGGGTAAGGAGTTGCAATGCCAACCCAAAGGCCCAGTATTTGCCCTGCATTTCTCAAGCTGAAAAAAACTGAAAAACAAATTTAATCCTCGAGTTGCAAGACGCAATGGGCAATATATTGAATGATCCAAAAGCATCAAAAGAAGATGAAGGGAATACACCAGATAGTTATCTTCTAGATTTCTTGGTACAACCTGGTTCAGGACTGCATCTGTTTGAGGAAATATGTCGGTTGGTATTTTATCAATTCCTGTGGCCTTATTTTTTGCTTATCCCGTCAGAGCAGCTTGAAGTTCCTATAAAAGTACCAACACAGAAAATATTAAACATAATGATAAGAAGAGGAAACAGAATGCTGAAATTTACTGAGAAGTCATCAATCAGTAATGATTGCTGAAACATAAAATACTAAATTCATTAAAAACTTACCTCTATCTTTAGAATAATTTTACTTGTATGTGATATTAATGATATTGTTCAATAATTTCTGCTATTTTTTCTTTATAAGTGAGACCTGGTTGAGTAATTTTATTTTCTGTTCATTTATTCTTGTTTTCTGTATGTTCAGCTCCTGTTGATTGTTCTTCCCCAACCCCCCCCCCAATTCAGTGGCTTAATTTTTTCAATTCTTTTTTTTGTGTGTTTTTTAAAAATGTTTTCATATCCCGTTTTGAGTCCTTTATTTTATTCTATTTATTTACTCTTCTTGCGTAGTTTGTAATGCATGTTTTTTTGTTTAGACATTTAGAATCATAGCCAGAACATTGTAAATTCATTGCATTATTCTGTCCTTTGTCAAAGATATTTCCTCTAGCTATTTTACTATTTTATGTTTAAATTGTGCCATGTTATTATATTTGTCTTTTTTCTTAAAGTTACTGCTGTTTTCTTGGTGGGAATATTTTTTGATTGGATGACCTGCTGCCACTTCAGCCAAGTCAAGCACCAGCTGATAGACAGGAAGAAGGTTTGGAGGCCGCCTCCACACAGACTCAGGCCTGCGGCCCTAGGGCTCAGCTCCGTTCAGTTCTGCGTGGTCACTGGGCAGCAGCAATGCATATGGACCTTCTGAAAACCACTCTTTGCCTTATTTTCTTCAATGCTTATCCAGGAATTTTTAAAGTTTTATCTGTGCAATATAAATAATCGCACATGCACAGGAGGAGGGGTTTAGCTGGCTACAGAAATATGGGATTGTAGAGGCTTGGGTTTAATGTGGTGAAGGTTTGGAACTTTCTGTGTCTTTCCTTTATGAGTTCCACAGCTTTTCCCATGTGTTCTCCCTGTGGGCTGTTTCCGCTTGTCCTGGCTTTTCCTTCTAGTCCTAGTACCTATTCTTCTCAGGCCTTAACAAGAATGAAAAGTGCTCCCTTGCAGCACCTAATCTTTCATCACTTATTCCCAGTTGCACTTTCTGTGAAGTCCCCTGACTAACTTGCAGTACTTAAAAAAATAATAATAAAAAAAGCTAACCAAAATTGCACTGCACTTTCTTCTGTTGGCTTTCTTTTGCATTCTTCCCATTTGGTATGTTACCCAGTTATGCCCGAGAATGGCTGTGATGAACCAGTGCTCCAATTCCAGGTCTTTTGCTCCATCTTTTTTTTTTT